TCCCCCTCCCTGCCACCGCCCCCGCCCATCCCACCGCCCACCCCACCCCACCCCAACCCTCTCTCTCCTCCTTTGCTCGCTCTGTGGAGAGGAGGGGAGTGACGAGAGAAAAACGAATACAAATCTGCAATTGATTTTCATAATGTTTCTGCGGTGTTTGCAAACCAATCGCCTGAACGTCCCCGATCTTACCTAAGAGAGAACCCCTCCTACGTCTGCGAAGTGCTCCGTACTGATATATGACAATATCTACTTTGGATCACGTGCTCGGGGAGAGAGACTAAGACGGATAACGCGTCATCTCGCCTTCCCAAATTTTCCCCCATCGCTAGACCGGGTCCAAAACCTCCATCCGGAGCAGGCAGGAAAGGAGAACGATGTTTAACTCGGTCAACCTGGGCAACTTCTGCTCGCCGTCGCGCAAGGAGAGGGGCGCTGACTTCGCCGAGCGAGGGAGCTGCGCCTCCAACCTCTATCTGCCCAGTTGCACTTACTACGTGCCCGAGTTCTCCACGGTCTCTTCCTTCCTGCCCCAGGCCCCCTCTCGTCAGATCTCCTACCCCTACTCTGCTCAAGTGCCCCCGGTCCGGGAGGTCCCCTACGGCCTAGAGCCATCCAGCAAGTGGCACCATAGGAACAGCTACTCTGCGTGCTATGCGGCGACCGACGAGCTCATGCACCGGGAGTGCCTACCACCTTCCACGGTCACCGAGATCCTCATGAAAAACGAAGGCTCTTACGGCGCCCACCACCACCCCAGCGGCCCGCACGCAGCCCCTGCGGGCTTCTACTCCTCGGTCAACAAGAACAGCGTGCTGCCCCAAGCCTTCGACCGCTTCTTCGACAACGCCTACTGCGGCGGTGACCCGCCCGCCGAGCCCCCCTGCTCCGCTAAAGGCGAGGCCAAGGGGGACCCCGAAGCGCCCCCGACCTCGGGACTGGCGACCCGGGCTGAGGCCGGTGCTGAGGCCGAGGCAGAGGAAGAGAATACCAATCCCAGCTCCTCGGGTTCGACCCACTCTGCGACCAAGGAGCCGGCTAAGGGAGCCGCCCCCAGTAGGTAGCAGCGACCGGGCAGCGGCGGGCAACGAGGGAGGGAGGGCTGCAGCAGGGAGGGGGGGCAGCCTCGTGTTTTGGGTCAGTTCGATTTTATGTGGAGTTTTATAAGCATTCAAAGGATTTTATTATAACCTACAAAGCCCTCTCTCCCAACGACTCGACTTTTTACGATGGAGAAGGGGTGGGGAGGGAGGGAAAGGGGCTCTTTGGAAAAGCCGGGTGGACCCCCCCTCCCCGTTATCTCTCTCTCTCTGTGAAAATTTTAAAAGTGCCACCATTGCGGGCGATATTAACTTTGATCATGAACTTAGAGGAGCATTTAAGGAAGGCTGGGTAGCCTGGCTGCGGGGGGGGGTGAGAGAGGGGAGGGGTGGAGGGGGAGAAAGAGAGGGGAGGGCGAGGGACAGACCGGGAGAAACCCAGAGAGAGGGAGAGGTGAGGGACAGAAGCCACTGAGCAGACCTGGAGACCCCAGAGGCGCTCAAGGCCGCTCTGATTCTTTTGAAAACTTTTTTTTTTTTTTTTAATGTTCAAACTCAGCATTAGTGGGTCTTTGAGCAGAAACCTGAGCAGGCCAAGGGGTGGCGGCGACTGGAGCCTGGGCGGAGGCGAATCGAAGTTTCCCTGCCCTGCACTCGGAGGTCTCGGCGCTCCCGGCTCTGCGGCCTCGGAACCGGCCTAGCCCGGCTGCCTGCGGGGCCGGGCGGGTGGCTAGGAGTCCGGGGGCGCCGGAGCCGGGGAGCAGGCTGGAGGGTGTCTAGCCTGCTCTCTGCTTTCCCTCCCGGCTTCCCCACTGCTCTCGCCAGACTGTAATTCGCGCCGGTTCCCTGAGGCTCCTCCAGATCTCCAGGGGAGGGGACAGTGGACTTTCAGAACCACTGGGGGACAGCTCGGAAGGGACAGAGCAGCGGAGGGCAGCAGACAGATGGTCCCCGGGAAGCACGTGGCCGCGGCAGGTTTTCCTGCTCCCGCAGACCCTGGCAGCGAGGATTCTGGCCTGGGGGGCGTGCAGAGGGAGGCTCGCGGTGTCCCAAGCTAGATCTGGCAGTGGGGTCGAGGCTTGCCCCCGCGCTGAGGCCCGGGGAGCAGAGCCGCCGGCCTGCGGGGAGGTCTGCCCTGAGGCCCGGCTGGGAGCAGGGCTGAGCGCTCCGCGGCTGGGGTCTCTCGGCTCTCACTTGTCTCTCTCCCCTCTCCTCGCACTTGCCCCCTCCCCTCCCTCCAGACGCCCCCCGCACCCGCAAGAAGCGCTGCCCTTATTCGAAATTCCAGATCCGGGAACTGGAGCGAGAGTTTTTCTTCAACGTGTATATCAACAAAGAGAAGCGGCTGCAGCTGTCCCGGATGCTGAACCTGACGGACCGACAAGTGAAAATTTGGTTTCAGAACAGAAGGATGAAAGAAAAAAAACTAAGCAGAGACAGGCTGCAGTATTTTTCAGGAAATCCACTGCTGTAACTGCAGACCGGTCCGTGAGGGAGGGGGGGAGAAATTATTTTATTTTATTTTTATTTTTTATTTTCTAACTCGTCATTTTTCCGCGGGTGGAAAACTGGACTGTGGCCAGGGCTGGTCCCCACTGCCGGTGCTGGCACTTCCTTCCGGAACATCTTCACCTTGGGTCTGATTCACCGTAGCGACAGAGACCCTGCCTGGAAAAGGAGGTGAAGGGAAGTATCTGACCTTGGCGAGTGGATCCTGTTGGCGCCAAGGCCCCAAGACTGTTTATTTAAAAGAAAACACACCTTGCGACGATGTCTTGCTGCTGGGATTGGGTGAGGGGAAGTGCCCGCACCGTGGGCGCCTGAGCCGAACAATCCTCGAACTCCAAGCCTTCCCTTGCCCATGTGAAAAGATTGCTGAAACACCTTGTCTGTGAGGCCTCCGGGGCTCCCCATCCCCACCCCCACCTTGCCCCTTGTTAGGGGGCAGCTAAATGTGATCCTGCCTTGCTGTGAAATTTCTGTACCTTCGACCTGGTGTTAGGTGTGCAAAAAGTCCACCTCCTACCTCTGTCTGCGCCTGGCCCCGCCTGAGCCTAGCTGCTCTCCCTGTAAACCTGTAGAGACCTCTTTTGAAAATTCTTAACTGGTGCATTGAGGTGTCCTAAACTTTTTCCCAAACAGTGTCCCCACTCCATGGATTTATTGCTCGCCTATGCAGTCCTTAACTCCTTAAGAAGAAAAAAAAGATTGGGGTGGAGGAGACAGTAGAGAGATGGGGTCGGGTGCCTCCCCCTAGCTGGGCTTGAATTTTTGTAAATAAATTTCACAAGCACTTCTTTCTACCTGGAGAGGAAGGGGGAGGTTGTGCCAGAAAGAGATTCTAATTGCCCATCTCTCTCCATGTGTGTCAGTGCGTGTGTACAATGTGCAGTCCCCACCCTGCTCCTGTCTCAGAGGGATTGCTGTGAATTTTTTTGTGGCAAATAAAGATATTTCATTCTGTTCAATATTATGATTTTATTTGGTCTTTTTATTAACCCAGCTCCTCTTAAAACCCTCTGTGCTCCCAAAACAGCAGCGGAGGAGGAGGAGGAGGGGGAGGGGGAGGAAGAGGAAGAGGAAGAGGAGGAAAGGAGGCAGTTGGGAGAGCCTGCTAAGGACTGGTCTTCTGAGGTGAGGCAGGCCAGAGCTGAGGCACTGGCAGGGGCCAGAACAGGCAGAGCTTCCTAGAGCTCTGGAGCAGAGGACATTCCATGTCCTCTAAGCTGTCCTTTCTCATGTGCAGCTGGAGCTGTGTCCAAACGCCCAGCAATGCTTTCCGTTTAAGTACACGCTTGTTGTGGAATTATTGTAACCATCATCAAATTTAAATTTATAGGAATTTTCTTGGCTCTGCCACCCTCCTGCCAGATGTCTCTGTCTGTCACAGTTAGGTATGTAGATCTGAGAGTAGGGCTTTTGCTTTTTTTTTCCCCCATTCTCTTTCTGAGAAGACTGTATTGGAATTTTAATACACATTTTTGAAGGAAGGAGGGGAGAAGAGGAGAAACCAGTCCCTTCTATGTCCTCTTCGTAGCCCCTTGAGGGTGAGAAGGTAGGGCCCAGTCCCTTTCCCTTTTGCCCAAATGGCTTGGCTCCTCCAGACACAAATAGACACCTAGGCTGGGGCCACCCTGATGTTTATGCTATACTTTGGGTGCCCAGAGTAAAAAGCCCCCAGAGATGTGTTTTGTAGGGATTGGCAAGGGGTAGGGTGCTGGGGAAAGAAACGACCTGTGGGGACAATTCACATACCAATCTATATTTGCTGTGTGAAAAATAACTGAACCTTCCAGCTCCTTCACTGAGAGGTCTTCAGTCGCTTCTAAATTCGTTATTTGAGGGAAGAGGTTCAGGACCAACTTTCATCTTCCCTCTGTCTTTCTGTTCTTGTGTAATACCAAGGAAGTGTTTTTGTTCATGCTGCTTTGTTGACTGAAAGGAGAAAACTCCTGAGTTATTAGGTCAAGGCACTGCCTTTGGTTTTGATGGATCCTTGCAGTTTAGGTGGTGTCTGAATCTCTAATGTGGAAATGTGGCTCTTTGAGATTTGTCAATTGGGGTGTATTGTGGCCCACAATCCCTTCATGTGCACACGCGTGCGTACACACACACACACATTATTATTCAAAGCAGTGTCCCTATATGTGCACTTAAGGGGGAGTATAGTTTGAGCACTTTTGTATTTATGGAGCAAATTAGTCAAAATACAAGGTTCAGCTCCAGAGCTTGTGTCCTTCCTGCTGTGTGAACACTGTCACTGTTTTGAGGGTCCCCTGTGTGTTGGTACGTGAGAGATGATATTCACCCACTAGCTGTACCAGGGAATGTTGACCTGAAGGCCATATTTTCTATATAAAGATAAAGATGAATACAAAACAAACCTGTTTATAAAGCAAACTATTAGTCTCCAAAGAGCTTCTGATTTTGAAGAAAGATACTTAAAACTAGCAGTTATCACTTTCTTACAAATAGACAGCTGAGAAGTCTCTGTTCCAGAAAAGATTTCTGAAGGATGAGAGGGGAGTCATCATGTAAGAAGAACAAAGGCTTATGTCATCCAAGCCCAAAACTTGCCAGTCTGCCACGACCTTCTAAGAAGAAAAAAAGGTGCCTCCGACTCCCAAGCAAACCCACCTTTAGACTCCTGGGATATCCAACCCCCCTTGCGGGTAGGGGCACTCTAGGCTCAACCTCTTGGGGTAATCCCCTGCAGCCACAGTGCGGTCCCGGAACAAAAGATTCCAGTCTAGACGCCGCCATAAAGCGTCCCGAGCCTCTAAACCCAGTTTCATTTCGCCCTTAACGACCCAGTCTGGCCTGTGTTAGAAAATGCTTCCGCCCTAAATAGTAAACAAACCCCCAGTGGATGTTCTTGGCTCTTCCAACACACCCCAGACCCCCCCCACCCCATCATCCCCTTGCCCCACATTTTCCCTCTTTCCCTCCAGTCCTTTCTCAGCTCTCAGCTCCCAACCCCCCAAGTAAATAAACCAGAGGCCGAGTTCAAAGTTTCCTGGAGCTAAGGAGGAATGTTGGTTGTAAAAATCCAAGTTTATAGTGCACGTGGGAGTTTACAAGGGTATTAAGTGGTGTGGGCTGAGAGAGCACTCTGGGCCCCTCCCCCTTTCCACTATGGGCTTTAGGGGTACAGGGGAGCCAGGGGCACTTGAATGAGAAATGGGATTCAAGTAGCCTCATTTTGGAGTTTCTTTGTCATTCAGATCCTAGGGTGCTTGGGAAATGCAATGCAAAGGTTCCCTTGAAGGTGCCCCCCCCACCTTTGTGAGAAAGTCCATGGATTCTAGGTATCCCAGACAGAGAGCTATGCTGGAGGGGAAGTTAAAAAGGTACAGACCAGGTGTCTGAAAAGTCAAGAAAGTTGGAGTCACCTATAACCAGTTAACCAGAAAGGAAGAAACTACCTTTAGCCAATTTCTTGAGCAGGCTGAGGGAAGAGAAGGTTTTCCTCACGGAGGCAAAGGAAAACTTTGAACTTCAAGGGAGTCAAGGGCACCACCCCTTCCTCCCCACCCCACCCCTCCCCGCCCATCTCAGGAATCTGTAGGGCAATTCCTTTCCTGGCCAATATTCCAGGAAGCGGGGAGCCCCTGAGTTTTCCTGGTACCCTAGGGCTGTTTGCTAAACCCTTCTTGCTCAGAGCTGGCCAATGCTGCATGCACGCGACTACATTCTTTATTATTCATATAAACCTTTGGAAAAGGCAATGCCCCAGGAAGTTTTTATAACTTTGTTTGGCATAAAAGTTTTACAAGATTCTCTCTCCCTTTAAAAACAACAACAACAACAACAACAACAACAACAACAACAAAAAACCTTAGTTTAGGTCTTACCAAGGTTGGAATCTCAGATCTTAGAGAGGGAGAGGCCAATGAGGAGCTCTGGGGTTTCATTGTGTCTGGGAAAGGGGATATGTTCTTTGCTAAAGCCAAAAAGGGGACCTGGCTTTGGGAACTGCCAGCTAACAGAGGCTGTAGGCATTCAGGAGAGCCTATCCACCATATTCTTGAGATGTGTCCTTTATAGGCACCCAAAGTCCAAAGTTCCTATAACATCAATGGTATAACAGGCCTTTCTCCCATCATACCCTAGTTCTGTTTGTAGGCGCTCTCTCTCTCTCTCTCTCTCTCTCTCTCTCTCTCTCTCTCTCTCCAGAGTCTGGCACCCCACTTCAACCTACTTGTTAGAGCAGAGAAACTTCAGGACCTTGACCCCAATGTGAGAGGGCTTCAGCACACACAGCCCTACAACTCTACCACCTCTGAGGTTAAAAAATAAATAAATAAATAAATGTTTGAAGAATCCAAATGCCAAGAAACTCTTGCCCAGAGGTTGCAGTGGTGGCAGAATCAAAGGAGACAGAAGGCCAGCAGGACTGCAGTCCAGGAGTACAGAAAACAAAGGTGCTTATGTTAGGACATGGCCTTGGGCTGCCACCCACACATGACCCCTTAGACCTGCCCCCACCTGCAACTGACAGAACCTCACTCATTTCCCCCTAGAGCCAGTGTTGGGAGTACAAATACGCTCAACTTTAGTCCATTTAATGTTCAGTTCTGGAGTCTGGACAAAGATAAAGTGACTTCTCCAATTACGGGTTTGGTGGACCAAGTTTCTTTAATATGATGGAAATGAACATACAGGACTCCTGGAGCCTGGCATTTCAGGGAGACATTGGCATAGATGGGGAGGCGCTTAGAGTCTTTCCCTCCCTCTAATGGCGACTGCTGAGGCCCGGCTGCTGCAACTGGCTGTACACTTCGCCTTGTGACAAGCCTGAAGGCAGAAGTTCAACTCCAAACCCAGCAGCCCAAGAGGGACAGGGAGGCATGGATCCAGCCTGCTCTTCTCACAGAGCCCAACAGAACAGAGGACAAATAAGTAAGCCCGGGGAGGGTGTGGGCACTAAAAAGTTAAGGGAGGAAAGAACTGGGAAAAGCAAAGAACAAATAGGATAGCAAAGAAAGAAGAGCAAGAGGAAACCAGGAAGGCAGCAAATTAAGAAAATCTTGGAAAAGAGAAAGGAAAAATGGCAGAGGAAAAAAGGAAAGGAAAAATATACAGAGAGACATAAGAGAAAAGATGAAGAAAGGAAAGAAAGGAAGAAAAAGAGAAGAAAAGGAAAAAGGGGAAAGAACGTCTGCAGGAAGGAATTTATCCTGTGAGGGAGAATTGGGTTTTCTCTGTAGTAACCACAGCCCGCTGGTCACTGTCTAGAAACCCGACCTACAGGACAACTTAGAAACAAACCATTAAAGTGGGGACCAGGGCCTTCCCCCCAACACATTCTCCCATCGGCTCCTCCTCCCAACGTTTCTCTCCGAGGTGTTTGCGGTCTGGTTTCCATTCAGTAGGCAAAGTTAAATAACTGGTCGGCTTCCTTGGGGCCTGGGAGCAGTCAGTCGGGCTGACACGGGTTATCCAACTTCAGAATTAAAGGATCACAGGAAGTCTTTGGGTAGAAGTGAATATTTGTGGCTGTGCACATGCAATTAAGCGCAAGTTGGACTTGTGGGTGGACGCTGAATTCCACAGCCTCTGGGTGCAAGTGTGTATAATGTCCAGATGTGAGAGTGAGTCGGCTGGTTGGCGACTCTGCCTGCCGGGGTAGCTACAAAATCAATAGTCCAGAGGCCTCCTGATCCTTCCTCAGCCTCTCACCTCTGTACCTACTTGAATCCTTTTTTCTTTTCTTTTCTTTTCTTTTCCTTTCTTTTCTTTCTGGACCTCTGAGTATTCTGCATTTTCCTTGGGATTTCCCGGCTCTTAATTCAACTGGGGCAGAGTCTGGTGCTCAGGAAGAAAAGTGAATCTTTCCTTCAAGAGCTGGGAAGAGAAGGATTTATCTTGGTCTTCAAAACAAAAGGGAAATTCCCAACAACCAACCAGTGGGATTTTGTTTCCCAGTTTTGCTTGAAGAGATTTTAGCACGAACACTTTTTTACTC